GGGCGCCTCTCCCGGCCGTCCAGTGCATATCACTGTACTGAAGCCACCCAGACACAAGAGGAAAAAAAAAAAAAAAAAAAAAAAGAAAAAAAGGGGGGGGGGGAATCATACCGCCAGGAGGTTAAAAAAACGAGCGTTGAACGCACGTTTCATTGAACTAAAAAACGTGCAAAAAACGTGCTTAAAATACGCGCCTATTAGGAACGCCCAGGTGTGAACCCAGCCTGAAAGAGTGAACTTTGAAGATGAGTTTCTCAAAATATGTTTTGAGATAGAGAGTTGAATGAGGGCTTCATGTTAAGTGCTTTTACTTTAGAATTTGTAAATACTTTAGTGCAAATAGTCTGGAAAAAGGTTTACTTTAATGTATTAATGATTAAAGAGCTGCATTAATATATGCCTGTTATATCTGGGTTCAGCTATAATTATTAGTAAGTATTATTATGATTAGACCAGGAGAATTGATGTATTGTATAAGTATGGTGGAGCTTCGCTACCAATCACAATCCTGCTTTGATTATGGACTTATGTATTTTAATCCATAATAAGAATAGCCTGTGAAAAACATTTTAGAAATAATAATAATAATTATAATAATTCATTTTTCTGCTTTCCAGCTGATTGGTGTAACTATGAGTGCGTGCTTCCTGCGTATCCTCTATAAAGAAGAGAAGGAAGAGCTGTACAATATGATTTGATTGTTGTAGAGGTATTGTCAGAAATAAATGTACGTCAGTGGACAATGTTGACAGTAAATTGTATTCATACACAAACACCCTTATTCAGTATAGAATTCCTAAATCCTAAAGGCTAAGTTCACTCAAAATGGATAATACTTATAGACTGGCTCTTTCTTCTACCTCTTGAGAACTCTACTGGTGAGATTGCACACTACTGTGGCGATTGTGATGAGCTCCAGCTGTCACTGCTGGATTTTTTTATTGATTGCAACAGGAAGAGATGAATACGCAAAAGTAGAAAGGAACATCCAAAACTCCCAACATCAGCAGAGTTGGGAATTATGGAAGGGAGATCTTACTGATGGAGTATCTAAGACAAATAAGATGTAGAGGCTGACTCGTTTCACTTGGCTCCGTATGTAGCCATGCTTCTTAACTTCAGAACTTAAAAAAGAAAGACCTTTGTGCCGAGATGATATACATCATACGCAGTATGCCATGGGGAAGAATGGGCAAGACCACATGTGCTGAATATTGGGCATGGCTAAAAGGGGCATGGTGAAGAGTCTGAAATATACTGCATATATTTTCCGCAGTGCTTGTACCCACAAAATACTCCCTAACCACTTCTGGGCCCGCACTCCCTTCCTGTCCAGGCCACTTTTCAGTATTCAGTGCTGTGACAGTGTGACTGACAATTACTCAGTCATGCAACACTGTACCCAAATTAATTTTGATATGATTTTGTTTTAGAGAGCTTTCTTTTGGTGGTATGTCTCCCTAAAACAGAGAGTGTGTTACTGGCAGGACCTTCAAGTGTATGTGAAAAATAATGTTTCAGCATCAGGGGTCAGTGGGAGAAAAGAAAGTACTGTTGTTTGTCAGGAACAATGTCACAGAGGACAAAATGCACCAAAATTGGGGGTCAGTAGAAGGAAGAGTACTCCAGCATCAGAGTGTAATGGATGGTAAGGAAGGATACCCCAATGTTAGTGATCAGTAGGAGGAAAAATGTCCAGGTGTCAGTGGGAGGAATGAATGGCCCAGTTGTCAGGGGGAGTATAGAGTGCCTCGTTGGTCAGTGTAAGGAAATAAGGCCCCAATGTCAGTAGTCAGTAGGATGAAGAAGGCCCTGCTATCAGTGTGAGGAATGAAACGCCCAGTGATAAGCAGGAGGAAAGAATGCCCTGATGCCAGTGGGTGTAATGATGGCCCAGTGATCAGTGGGAACAGAGAATGCCCCGGTGATCATTGGGAGAAAAGAAAGCCTTAATGTTGGTGGTCAGTAGGATGAAGAATGCCCTGGTGTCAGTGGGAGGAAGAAATGGTCCAGTGTGCAGTGCGAGGAAAGAATGTCCTGATGTTAGTGGTCAGTTGTAGGAAAAATGCCTCAGCATTGGTTTTAGTGGGAGCAGTAGCCCAGCATTAGTTTTCAGTGTAAAAAAACAAAACAAGACATGCACACACTTCTGCCTACCTGCCCTCATGACATTGACACTGGGACTGTAGCCATGCACCGTTAAGTAGGAGATCACTTTTCCTGATTCAGAAAAAGGCCTAGGTGCAGAACTTATCATTAGAATTCTGTTTTCTAATAGGGTGGAGAAGGGTAAGAACCTCTTTTAGGTTTTGTTTTTTTGCATTAATAAGCGACATCATCACTACTTTGGCCAGATCTCCCAGTCAGAGTTCTCAACCTAATTTCCTTTCCCCTGTGCAAGGTTGTCTCACTCCCCCTTCTGTGTTTTCAGTGCTGTAATATAAATGAGAACCCCTTTGTGATGCCGGGAATAGGTGTAGCTCATTGGACAACAGAGGTTGATCCAGCCCACTTCCTATCAATTTTATGTGGACAGAGTCTTTTATGTACATTGCTGTAATATGTCATTGTAATATTTCTTTAAACTGTACAGATCTGTATATACTGTACATTGGTGCTACAGAATGTATATTAGCAAGCTTCTTCAAAAGGAAAGTGTAAAGTGCAAGAATATACAGTTTACACAAACTCCTACCGACCAGTCTGCAGCAGTGTTAAGAAAGCTACTAGGGATTAACATTTGTACATTGCCGTTGCAAATTCTGTCTTTGCAAACCATGATTTGGGACAAGTATGATAGGATGGCTCCAGTATGGCAGCTCATGACTGTTGTAATTGAACATAGCCCAATATAAAGAGTCATATAGCCAAGTGCTGCTTCTACGATCCAATACTAAGTACCATATTTACTGTATAAAGCACAGTTGAATAGCCATTATATCATTCTCCACATTTGTAAAACAACATCTGACATCTAAATTCACAATTACCTAGTCAAGTAATGTTTACCAATGTGTAGATTTTTTATTTGATCAGTAGGAAAAACAGGTCCCTATAACATTCACTGTATTCCTTATACAACTAATGATACATTTGTCAGCAGTGATAACTCACCCCTCTAAACCAGTCAATCCTTGATTTTATCAACTATTTTTTTTGTTGAAACCTTCACTGTTTGGTAAATCCCACTCCTAGCCACAACAAGAAGACGTTATACCAAACTACCATGGACTGCACAGGGGAACAGTTAGACAGATCTTGTATTATTTAATTTTATATACGCTATGGCCAAAGGTATGTAGACGTCCCTCCAAATTATTTAGTTCAGGTGTTTCCAGTGAAGGGTACCGTTAATGCTACAGCATACCAAGACATTTGGACAATTGTGCAATTGCGGCAGCAGTTTGGTAAAGTCCCTTTTCTGTTCCATCTTTACTGTGTCTCTGTGCACAAAGCCAGATTCATAAAGACCTGGTTTGATGAGTTTGCTGTGCTGGAACTGGAAACCTTTACCCTACAGGACACATATGGAATGAGTTGGAATACCGATTACAAGTCAAGTCTTCTCATCCAACATCAGTATTTAACCTCACAAATGCATGTTTGGCTAAACGGGCAAAAACTTCCACAGACACACTACAAAATCTTGTGGAAAGCCTTCCCAGAAGTGTTGAGGCTAATATAGCCACAAGGGTGGGCAACTACATAATAATGGCCATGGTTTTAGAGTGGGACATCCAACAAACCCATTTAGGTGTGATGGTCAGGTGTCCACAAACCTTTGGCTATATAGTGTAGCACGACCATCTTGCAATGTTGATGTAAAAAGTAGACAAACCATGGGAAGTTAGTGCAGATAATAAAATATATACATGTAAAAGACTTACACATACAGTTGTATAGCAAAGCATTGCAATAACAAGGTGCAACAGAAGAGTGTTAAATAAATAAGTCCCTTTCCTGCTTGTTTCCCACAGTGTGCAATTACTTCTAACAGTCAATAGCTCCCTCTGTTACCGTGCTTTGTAATTAGGTTTTCAGTCCATAGCACAATACTTTATTTTTACAAGAAAGAAGCATTAGCACAAATCACAGGCTGAAAAACCCACTACTACCGATTAAATTGCTGTTATGATACGTTGTATATATTTTACATTATATGTATTGTTTTGGTGCAACAAATAATATATAATTTTTAATAAATATTCAACTGGGCAATAAAATAAATATCATTGTTCTCTCTTACTGTGTTTTTATTACTGCTGACTTTCAAGTGATAAATGTTATGCAGCAGCTTATACAACATCTCTTTGATCAGTAGACTGTTGGAAACTTTCAAAGAAGAACTCCGTTGAGCAATATTGCACCAGAAAACAAACTCCACATAGTTTCAGAAGTATAGGAAGCCTTTCTAGAAAGAAAACACATTCAATATGAGGTTATCATTCCTCTGACAGTGGAAAATTGGACCTGTGCTTCACAGCCAGCCATAGGTCTGCACCAGGTAAGTTTAGTTTGATGATGTAACTGGCGTTGCCCCTATTTTGCTCTCCATAGGCCATGATGTCAGGGTGATTTAAAGACGAATTCCACTCCCATCTGTTTCTTTTAGTTTTGTATACAGTATGGAAGAGGTTCCAACTTCTGGGGGTTTTTTTCTGTCTGTAAACCCAATCAGTTAGATTGTCTTCCACTTCTTGCCCTTGTGATACCCGTAGAAGAAAAGGTTGTCACTGGGACAGAAGGGAAGAGACAGCACTATCAACATTGTCAGTCTTCATCAGTCTTCTAAAAGTGTGTTTGTGATAGTATCCTCCCCTAAAAAGTTACCTCCTGTCACTCCTGTCTTGCCAGTTCTCTGGCTTCAATACTCACTAGCCCAGTACACATATTCAAATCATTAGACTGACTTTATTCTGGTTTCACTTGCTGCTTGTTACAGGTCAATGGCTCAGTACTGAACCTAAAAGATCACAGTGCATTTTCAGAAGGTAGTCAGCATTGGCCGCATCTCATGTAAGGTTTCTTTTTAAAACAATATCCTGCTTTTACTTAGGTCAGAGCTGTTCTTTAATGAATAACTTTACTTTTGTATAATTCATTACAATTTTATAAATGGACCCCCTCGCCTCAAATGCCAACTTACCCCCTTTCAGGATGCTCAGCCTGACCTTAGCATCATGAAGTTCTACTTTGCTGGTGGATCTGTGCCCTACTGTGTGGCGGATAACTGTTGAGAACTGACGGAATTAGATCAGCCTGAGGCAGGAAGCTAGCATTTTCAGTTGTAGCTGCCACTGTGCATAAAAAAATATAT